GCCTTTCCTACTTTTTTGTCTAAGCACATTTAAAAACCAATACTTTTGATTTTAAGTGATAGCTCTGAATCCCTTTTAGGCATAGGGTGTGGGAAATTATATTTCTGCAGCTACTCAAGTGTGGAGTCCATGAAAATTATTTTAAATAACACTTAGAGCTCATAGTAGCCAAAAAATGTGGGGAAATGAAAAAGGGGTTTTTAAAAATTAATTATTATTATTTTTCTTTCAAAGAGACAGTCTTTACTCTGTCACCCAGGATGGAGTTCAGTAGAGGAATTATAGCTCACTGAACCCTCAAACTCCTGGACTCAAGCAATCCTCCTGCCTCTGCCTCCCAAGTAGCTAGGACTACAGGCATGCGCCACTGTGACTGGTTAATTTTTTTGTTGTTGCCCAGCTTGGTGGCTCAAACCTGTAATCCCAGCACTTTGGGAGGCCAACGCGGGTGGATCACGAGGTCAAGAGATTGAGACCATCCTGGTCAACATGGTGAAACCCCGTCTCTACTAAAAATACAAAAAAAATTAGCTGGGCATGGTGGCGTTTGCCTGTAATCCCAGCTACTCAGGAGGCTGAAGCAGGAGAATTGCCTGAACCCAGGAGGCGGGGGTTGCGGTGAGCCAAGATCGTGACATTGCACTCCAGCCTGGGTAACGAGGGAAACTCCATCTCAAAAACAAACAAACAAACAAATTTTTGTTGTTGTTCTTTCCTGCTGGCAGAATGGTTAATTTTTAAATATTTTTTAGGGATAAGTTCTTGTTATGTTGCCCAGGCCTCAAACTCCTGGCCTCAAGCAATCTATGCACCTCAGCCTCCCATAGTGCTGGAATTACAAGTGTGAGCCCCCAGACCCAGCCGAAAAAGGTTTTTGTGGAGGGGGTATGATCAAGAGAAAAATCATGGAATATGTTCGAAAGAGATCTAAAGGGCCATAGAAGTTAAAAGGTTGAACTCTAGAGAACAAAACATAAAGTATGGAAAGGTTCTTTTTTTTTTTTTTCTCATTGAGACAGAGTCTTCTTCCGTCAACCAGGCTGGAGTACGGTGGTGCAATCTCATCTCACTGTAACCTTCCCCCAGTGCCCCACCCCTGCCAGAGCTCCAGTGATTCTCCTGCCTCAGCTTCCTGGGTAGCTGGGATTACAGGTGTAGGCTATCACTCCCAGGAAAAGTTTCTTTAAAACATACTTGGCCGGGGGAAGTGGCTGACGCCTGTAATCCCAGCAGTTTAAGAGGCTGGGCGGATCACGAAGTCAAGAGATCGAGACCAAATACAAAAACTAATAATGTGGTGTAGAAAAAGAAAAAGAGAAAAAAAAAAAACTATCTGGGTGTGGTGGTGGATGCCTGTAGTCCCAGCTACTGCGGAGGCTGAGGCAGGAATCGTTTGAACCCAGGAGATGGAGGTTGCAGTGAGCCAAGATCATACCACTGCACTCCAGCCTGCCAAAAGAGTGAGGCTCTGTCTCAAAAAAAACAAAAACCAAACAAAAAAAATTTGACTTTGGAACAAAGTCCAAATTGTTTCCATGATATCATCCTTTGACATTATGTTCATTTTGGTTATCTTAGTCTTTTTTCAGACTTTAACAGAGAATTATCTAAAAGCCCCTGGCTAAGTTAATGCTTATGATTGTGGTCACAAATAGATGGCTTAGATTTTATTTGTTTTGCAGTGTTTGTAAATATTTTTAAGTAGACTGTTATTGCCAACTAACATAATCCATATGTATATGGATTATATATATATTCCCCAAATTTAAAAGCCACAGTTTGGAGATTTTTTCCCACACACAAAAAAATCAGAAAATTGGCAACACTCTGCCCCATTTCCACAAGGCAACAATTTAGACAGGCCATGAGCGCTCCACAAGGCCCTAATCCCCACCACTCTTGTCTTAAACAAATCTAGTCAATTCTATGCTTGTTACATATGTATATTACTGTACTTCTCCTTCCTGCCTGACCCTGGAAGACCCCTGTCTCAGTCTCTCTCAACATGTCTGAAGGACTCAGGGGCAGGTGTCAAAAGTGAAGGCTCTTGTCTGGATTTAATGTCCTGGGCCAGCTTGAAACAGCAGGTAGTGTTTTGAGCTTTAAGCTAACAATTTGGACTTTCAGTCATGTTTTCTTTCCCCAATGAAATAGAAAAGGTTTATTTAAAAGAGGAAAAGAGTACAATAGCTGCAACATACATAAAACCTATTTAGTTTTACTCAGGAGTGGGAATCAGGAAACCTGAGTTCTGTTTCTGACTTACCTTGGATAACGAAGGGTAGTTAAGCTGTCCTTATGTCTCTTATCAAATGGGGAAAATACTGCTGTAGTTCAATTTGGGGAGTTTTAGATTCTAGGAAAATGGAAAGGCTATTTGTAACTTAGATTGAACTTTGAAACTTGTGTTTGTTTTTCAGGCACTTTTGGAACTTAACTGGACGTTTTATGTGTCTAGTAATCGGCTGATAGTAGATATTATTACTTTGCCCCTATATTGGGATGCAAAATAGCAGAAATATCCAGTCTCTGCTGGTACTTTTAGCAAAAACTTTACCATAGTAATCAGTTCATGAAACTCTGTGTTCTGTAAGTGGCCACAGTTAGTGAATTTGTACAATTTGGTTTCCAACCTATCGGCTACTTCGTGTTGTTCCTTCCAGCGAAGGAATGGGTCATCAGTGGCGCCAAACTACACAATGTGAGGGTAGCTGGCCCCGATCTTCTCCCACTGCCAGGGGCAGTTGAAGTATTCACTTACACACTTATTTTCATCCCCAAGTCTGATATGTATGCAGACACGAATACAATAGCATATACTTCATGTGTTTCTGCATACCTAATGGCTGCGACGGCCCCAGCACTGTGGATGTTGATGATGGTCTTCTCATCACAGTGCAGCCCCACCTCCATGAAGGGCAGCCAGATGCTCTCTCTTGCTGTAATTGAGTGTGGCATGTTTTTAGCCAAACACTGGAAACCAGGTATCTGCTCCAGAAACTTTCACCCAGCCATACCAGCCATGGGTGACCACATCCTCACCTCCGTTCCCAGGAATGATCACTGACTTGCTAGGCGAAGCCATGAGTACAGCGAGACTGAAGTTTTAGGAAGTGGGGGAATTCCACTTACTGGGGGGAATTTCAGCAGAGTTACATCAAAACAACAAAAATAACTTTAGATGCATAGTACAGAGCCCTTTCTAGGACCCCATCATCAGAGACTTTTTGTCATTGGTTAACTCATTCCTATGACTTCTCCCTTCTTTCACCTCACATTCTTGCCCTCTTCTCTCTTAGATTGTCAGTGCAATTCTTCTCTCTTTCTTTGGTTCCTACTTCCATGCTCAGCCACTAGGTTTTTCTTTGCATGTCCAAATTCATCAAGGTGCTCAGTAGGAAAACAAAAACTTACTTTCCTAGAACTCACCTGTATTAGTACATTTTCATATTGCTATAAAGAACTACCAGAGACTGGGTAATTTATAAAGGAAAGAGGTTTAATTGACTCACACTTCTCCAGCATGGCTGGAGAAGACCCAGGAAACTTAAAATCATGGCAGAAGGTGAAGGGGGAGCAAGGCACCACAAGATAGCAGAAAGGAGAAATGCTGAGTGAAGTGGGAAAAGCCCCCTATAAAACCATCAGATCTCATGAGAACTCACTATCAAAAGAACAGCATGGGGGAACTGACCCCATGATTCAATTACCTCCACCTGCTCTCTCCCTTGACAAGTAGAGATTATGGGGATTACAATTCAAGATGAGATTTAGGTGGGGACAAAGGATAACTATATCACTATCCTCAAGAGAAAGATACAAGTTTTTCCTTAGCTATGAAAAACATTAAGACTTCCTATTTATTTAGTAGCTTGAGGTATTACATTTAGTATATCAGTGTTACATGTTTTGGGGAAGCAAATAGTGTATAGCGTAAGTATAAAATAACTACAATAATGTTTTGCATGTATTTCATTGTAATGGAAGGGAAGTTACCGTTTATTGTAAGACTACTACATACTATATGTGAAGTGCTGTTTGCCTGTTTATTTGTTCGTTCATTTGTTTGAGACAGGGTCTTGTTCTCTGGCCTAGGGTGGAGTGTAGCGGCACAATTATAGTTCATTGCAGCTTCAGCCTCCTGGGATCAGGTGATCTCCTGGCCTCAGCCTCCTGAAGAGCTGGGACTACAAGTGCACCGAACCAGGGATGGCTTTTTTTTTTTTTTGAGATGGAGTCTTCCTTTGTCACCAGGCTGGAGTGCAGTGGCCGGATCTTGGCTCTCTGCAACCTCCGCCTCCTGGGTTTAAGTGATTCTCCTGCCTCAGCTTCCCAAGTAGCTGGGATTACAGGTATGTGCCACCAAGCCCGGCTAATTTTGTATTTTTAGTAGAGACACGGGGTTTCTCCATGATGGTCAGGCTGGTCTCCAACTCCTGACCTCAGGTTATCCACCCGCCTCGGCCTCCCAAAGTGCTGGGATTACAGGCGTGAGCCACAGCGCCCGGCCTAGACGGAGCCTTTTAAGTGACGTTAAAAATTTTACATAAAATGTGTTTTAGGATAATACCTATTTTTCTTTGACCAAAGGCTTTGCTTCAGAGAATGTTTAGCCAGAAATAGAGGGGAGTTAAATCCCCTTTTAAGTTTTTTCAATTTCCAATATGAGGAGGAAAATACGTAGTAAAGGGATGCAAGAGCCACCTCGCTTCTTCCACAACAAGGCCTAGGATGCGAAGCGACACCAGGGTTGCTTGGCTGCCGCCAGCTTTTAACCGAGAAATGCAGGGTGCGGTGCGGAGGGTAAGATATCGGCCAACTAACGTGACCTGGTTCAGAGAAACCCCGCCCCTGCCACTACCGCCCACCCAAAACATCCTCCTCAATCCTCCCTGGCCCCTGCGCGCAGTCCTCACCGAAAGGGACAGGGCGGTGTAAATAGAGTCTCAAGAGAGCGCACGCGAAGCCCCGCCCCTGCCGTGACGTCTGGAGACGCGACGCGTCGCCACGCAATGCAAATCGGGAAAAGGGGATGAGCTGGGCTGGCTTCCGTCCGGGTAGCCGAGGCTAATTCTCCCTTGAGTTCTTGGGAGATGGGCCTCTGGCAAGAAGGCTGGCGTTAGTGAAGCGCGCCTGGCGCCTCGGTGAGTGCGAGTCTTGGGCCCTGGTATCTGTTCTCTGGGAAGTCGTCCGCTGCGAACCCCGTCTCCTACCAGCTGCTGGTCACCTGGGAGACAAGCCCTGTCCTCGGAGAGGGGTGGGACAACTCCAAAAGGTAGAACCGGCTTGTGAAGAGGAAGGGCCCAACCTTGAGTCTTTTACGTGACTCACCTGGGGTTGCCCAGCGAGTTTCGTGTGGTTTTTCGGTTTTAAAAGGTGGCTTTGACCATTCTTCCCTTCTCTTGGACACTTAGACCCGACTTTGACCTCTTTCCCCCTGCTTCCGTTTTAAAAATTTTCTGCGATCTGCCTACAATCCCAGGCCTTACTACAGCTCCTCAAACTGTTTCCCAGTTTTCTTCTCTTCCCTAGTCACACTTGATTTTAGTGAAGTTCAAGTATGAGTTTAAAGACCTTATAAGCTTATCAGAATTAAAACTGTAGAAGCTTTTTTCACCCCCCTAAAAAGTGCCTTCCATCCTAGAGTTGTGGGACGAGTTAATTTTACTGGCACTCCACCTTGGAAATTATCAGAATCCTTACTTGCAGTGATAAGCATATATATATAAAGCTACAGATCACCCTCCTGGGTTTATTTCTTGCCTCCGGTTCATTCTGTGACCTTGAGCAAGTCACTTAATCACTAACAAAATATTTACCTGACACGGAGGTGTTGCAGAGCCTAAGGAATTTAGTATTTGTTAAGAGATCTGAGGGTTTCAGATGAAAGGGATTTATATCTAAAGGATGTTACCTTTACTGAATCTGCAAAGTATCCTTAGTTTTGTTAATATCCTGCTGCAGCTATTAAAAATGCCAAGTGGTATTTCTTAAGGAAGTATTCCTGTTTTAGGCTTGTTCTGCTGCGGCTTTGCTTTGTAAGCAGATTTTACATTTCAGCAGATTTTACATTTCAGCCGATTCTGTTTAAGATTCGTTGGGTGAACGTCATTCATGATGGATTTGGGTAGTTTCTCATTACAACATATTCCTGGACCAATAAGTAAGACATAATATCGGTTGTATTATGTCTTTATCATGTTGATATGGCTGCCTTGAAATATGTATTCCTTTTCTTGTGACACATTGGATGCATCTTTAATATTAGTAAAGATCCTGTAGTAGTAAAAAAAAAAGTACACCTGTCATTAATGAAATTTTGCACACATACATGTTTTTTTTTTTTACAAAACAATGTATAAGAAAAACTAACAATGTTTTAAAGGTGCCTTTTTTAGCATTTCATTTTTTAATATATTTACTTGAACTTTATTAGTCATTATGGACATTTGTTTATTAACGTGGACATGGCTGGGTGTGGTGGCGCACGCCTGTAATGCCTGCACTTGGACAGATCACCTGAGGTCAGGAGTTTGAGACTGGCCAACATAGCGAAATTGCGTTTCTACTAAAAATAAAAAATTAGCTGGGTGTGGTGGCACATGCCTGTAATCCTAGCTAATTGGGAGGCTGAGGCTGGAGAATCTCTTGAATCCAGGAGGCAGAGATTGCAGTGAACTGAGGTTACACCATTGCACTCCATCCTGGGTGACAGGAGCAAATCTCTGTCAGAGAATAAAAATAAAAAATGTGGACATAATGGAAAAGAATCATAATGACTTTTGGATAAGACAGTTGGAAAATAAAGCCAGTACATCAATTTTTTTCATACGTCTAACATTATACTTTATTATGAACTTTTCTATGTGAAAATATACTCATTTATAGAAGTGAAAGGAAAAAAAGTCTTCAAGTATGTGTTGCTAATAAAATTAGATATAATTAAGGAAACATTAAAAAAATGCCTTGTCCCAGTTACCTATTGCTGTGTAACAAATCACTCCAGATATAGTGGCTTTAAACTGTAGTGTCTCTCATGTTTCTCTGGCTTGCCTGGACTTAGCTAAGTGGTTCTCACCTAGAGTTTAATGCATTTGTATTCAGATAAGCAGCTGAGTTTAGAGTCATCTGAGAGCTCACTGGGCTGGACATCCAAAGTGGCTCATTCATGTGAAGGCAGTTGATGTTGGCTAGGAGTTCAGCTGGACATGTCAACTGGAATGCCTACACATAGACTCTTCACTTGACTTGAACTTCTAACAGTATGGCGGCTAGGTTCAAAGAATACATGTTCGAAGAGGGAGGAAGTAGAAGCTGACAGTCTCGCAAAAAAGCCTGGACCAGAAATTGACACAACATTACTTCCAACATACTCTGTTGGTTAGAGCAGTGAAAGACCAGTGTCCAGCCCTTACCTTTGAAGGGAAAAATGTCAAAGAATTCATGGCCCTCCTTTGCCTACTATAATTTTGATGGCAAAGTTGTGTTGGACTCTAGTTTGCATTTATATAGCAGATGCAGAATAAGGTACACTTCCAATTTCTTTAACCATAATGATTTTTTTTTTTTTTTTTTTGAGACAGAGTTTCACTCTTGTCACCCAGGCTGGAGTGCAATGGCGTGATCTTGGCTCACCGCAACCTCCACCTCCTGGGTTCAGGCAATTCTCCTGCCTCAGCCTCCTGAGTAGCTGGGATTACAGGCACACACCACCATGCCCAGCTAATTTTTTGTATTTTTAGTAGAGAGGGGGTTTCACCATGTTGACCAGGATGGTCTTGATCTCTTGACCTTGTGATCCACCCACCTCGGCCTCTCAAAGTGCTAGGATTACAGGCGTGAGCCACCGCGCCTGGCAACCATAATGCTTTATGTCTTAATGGCATATTACAGTCTTCAGAGCATGTTTTTGTACATTTTTTCGCTTGATACCTGTGGTATCCTTATAGTAGCAGATAAATCATTCCTATTTCATTTTGCAGATGAAAGTAAACTGAAGAGTGGTGGTGGTGGAGTTGGGAGTGATTTATGGAATTTATTCAAAGTCATATGATTAATAAATGGAAAAGAAGGCCTACAACAGGTCCGTTATAAATTTATTAGTACTAATTGATGAAATATTAAATGTATGGGAGTCTACATTTATAGCCACACTAATTTTTTTTTTTTGAGATGTAGCCTGTTGCCCAGGCTGGAGGGCAGTGGTGTGATCTTGGCTCAATGCAATCTCCTCCTCCTGGGGTTCAAGAGATTCTCCTTCCTCAACCTCCCTAGCTGGGACTTCAGATGCCTGCCACCATGCTCAGCTAATTTTTGTATTTTAGTAGACATGGGATTTTGCCATGTTGGCCAGGCTGGTCTCTGACTATTGACCTCAGGTGATTTGCCCACCTCAGCCTCCTGAAGTGCTTGGATTATAGCTGTGAGCTACCTCGCTGGGCCTTTTTTTTTTTTTAAATTAATTTAGACAAGGTCTTGCTCTGTCGCCTAGGCTGGAGTGCAGTGGCATGATATTGGCACACTGTAACCTCTGCCTCTTGGGCTCAAGTGATCCTCCCACCTCAGCCTCCTGCATAGTTAGGACTGCAGGCACACAGCAGCACATGTGGCTAATACCATACTAATTCAAGTAAAGCAGTTCTCATGTAGTGAATAAGGCTTAACTAAACCTTGTCTCTTTTGACTAACACATTGCAATGTAGTTTGTTTTGTTTTGTTTTTTTGAGATGGAGTCTCTTCTTCTGTTGCCCAGGCTAGAGTGCAGTGGCGTGATGTCGGCTCACTGCAACCTCTTCCTACTGGGTTCAAGCAGTTCTCCTGCCTCAGCCTCCCGAGCAGCCGGGACTATAGATAGGCACATGCCGCCACATCCAGCTAATTTTTTTTATTTTTATTTTTTTTTATTTTCCGAGTCCTCTTGATGGCAGATATTTTGTAATTTAGTAGAGACAGGGTTTCACCATGTTGCCCAGACTGGTCACCAACTCCTGAGCTCAGTCAGTCCGTCTGCCTCTGCCTCCCAAAGTGCTGAGATTATAGGCGTGAGCCACTGCGCCAGCCTACAATTTAGTTTTTAATAATATAGCAGTCTTTCCTTATCTGCAGGGAATCTGTTTCAAGACCTCCAATGATTGCCTAAAACTACAGATAGTACTGAACCCTATATATACTATGTTTTCCCTATTTATACATTTATATGATAAAGTTTAATTTATAAATTATACACAAGAGATTAGCAACAATAATAATAAAATAGAATAATTACAACAATATACTGTAATAAAGGTTATCATGCCCTGTGGCCATAACTTTTGGAACTTGAGGTGTGACAGCAAAACTAGCACAAATTTCTTTTTCCTTCAGAATTTTGCAGATGAAAGATTCTTACCGTAAATCTTAGCAACCTCAGCATGAGTTTTTTCTTATTAAGTCAAGAACTTTCACCTTTTTGCCTAAAGGAAGCAGTTTACAGCTTCTCTTTGGCATATGTGAATCTCTGCTTTTACACTTTGAAGCCATTATTAAGTAAATTGAGGGTTACTTGAACATAAGCACTGTAATACAGCTGTAGTCATACTGTTAACTGAGACGGCTGCTTAGTGATTAACAGGCAGGTAGCATCTACAGTGTGGATACACTGGACAAAGGGTTGATTCATGTCACAGGCCGGGCGAAGTGAGATGGTACATAATTTATTTTATTTTATTTATTTATTTTCGAGATGGAGTTTTGCTCTGTTGCCCTGGCTAGAGTGCAGTGGCGAGATCTTGGCTCACCACAACCTCCGCCTCCCAGGTTCAAGTGATTCTCCTGCCTCAGCCTCCTGAGTAGCTGGGATTACAGGTGTGTGCCACCACGCCCAGCTAATTTTTGCATTTTTAGTAGAGATGAGGTTTCACCATGACAGTCAGGCTGGACTTGAGCTCCTGACCTCGTGATCCACCCACCTCAGCCTCCCAAAGTGCTGGAATTACAGGTGTGAGCCACTGTCCCAGCCAGTGGTGCACAATTTAAAACTTATGAATTATTTCTGGAGTTTTTTATTTAGTATTTTTGGACTGGTTGACTGCAAGTAGCTGAAACCATGGAAAGTGAAACCGTGGGTAAGGGGGGACTACCGCACTAAATTCTGAAACGTACCAAT